GTGACACTGTTAGCATTAGTTATAAAACTAAGAAAATGAAGTCTAAGGAAGTTTTCATCCAGAATTGTAGAAAATGTTCCTTTAATAGGGTAGAGCAGTAAAGCTTCTGTCATTAACATTTTTTCCTGCATTACTTTTACTTTTATACTTTAAGTAGTTTTATAAAAAAAACTGTTGTTTTACATTTTTTACCGGAGTAAAAAGCTTAAGTTGATTCTCTAACTTCTACAAACTTGTTTTTAAACAGTAGGATTTATACCGGAGTAATAAATATGAATAGTTTTGACACCTCTGTTCTGCTCAGGCAGAGACGTCTAAACCTTTGGACTGAGGATCAGAGATGGACAGGAGCTTTGAAACATGGCTGCCATGATGGAAAAGCGGTTTGTTTATACACAGAACAAAATATGTGTCCAGAGGATTAAAGGAGGAGGCTGTGATGAGCCCTCTGGACTTCCACAGGTGAAGCTTCTGGCCTTTTCAAAGAGGTCAGAATGATGGAGAACAAGAGTTTTCATGGATGATGGACCTTTGACAGCACACAAGCTAAAAGCTGGAGCCCCTGAGAACACTAGGTCAGCTCCAGAAACACAGACAGTACCTCTTTTCTCTAAGAACGGGTCAGCATCGGTCAGGATTTGGTCCAGAATTTTTAAAAATGCTGCAATATTGAGATCTAATGAATTTAATGACACTTAGGAGCTGAATTTAATTGTTCCTTTTAATGCCAAAGAAACGAGGCAGTATCCATCAGGTCTTCATTCATATCAAATCAACCTGAAATAACTGGGAGCAATTTAAAAGCTGCCCTTTTTTTCCCTGTAATAAATAAGCGGAGCCAGAGAAACCACAGCAGGGATGGTTTTAACCAGCATAGAGCGGCGAGTCTTTAATCTGCTCTGGACTTTATTAATGAACAAGGAAGGATTTTTTATTCGGTTTGTCGTTACTCACTGAAGAAAACTACATGCTGGCAGGGCAGCTGCTTTATTTCGGTTTTTATCCTTAAACATGTAGATTGTTTTCCATGTGTTCAGTTTGCTCTGAATCCAAATAAATCCAGTTGCAGAATCCCCTCTGCTCTTTGGATGCTGGCTGCTCTGTGCGCTCAGGCTGCAGGAATTCAATGATTCCTGACAGATTTATACTGCAGCAAACATTCTGAGTGAGTCAGTGAGAAAAACCTTTCACTTAGAACAACCTTAACATTCATACTCAGCTTAAACTGATAATCTTCAAGATTTTACAAATAGACATGATGATACAAATCTCATTTATATACTGTATAAACGTATTATGTAGGAACTCTGGTTTTCTTGGTATGTCTCTGTATTTCTTAATATGTTTCTTTAATATGTAATTTTTTTCAAGTGCAAACTTATTTAAGCTAAATAAATAAAATATAATAATAATAATCAAATTTGGCAAAGTACAGTAAACAAACTTTGTCATAATATTTCTGTCACATCATGAAACTACTAAATAACCCGCAACAAGGGGTGACAACAAGTCATGCCTGAAGGATCGGCTGAGGTACGTATTACATCTTAAACTATTATTAGTCAAACTAATCAGGAATCAGGTCAGCCACCATCAGCTAGAGCTGCTTCAAGCAGGCCGAGGATACTGTGCATTTACACAATGTAGCATAACTTTCAGTTCTAATTAGATGAGTTAATCTGATAACAATCAGCATTAATCCTGGAATATTTCAGAAGCAATTAGTTTAAATTCCTTAGAAAGTGACGTAGTGATTTGTTGTTTACACAGGTTTCCTAAACTTTCATTCTTTTTTTTTCATGCACTTACAGATAAGATTGTCACTAGCATACTGTATGGAGAGTTAACAGTATCTATGGTAGTACAGCTATGAAAAAAGCATTTTATGTATGCAAATTATTTTTTCACATAAAGATTAACACATCACCATACGCTTCAAAAAACCAAAAAGTAAGTAATTAAATAGGTTTTTTGTAAATGACTAAAGGGATAAACCAAAGAGATAACTTAAAGAGATAACTTAAAGAGATAAATTAAATGGATAAACTAAAGAAATAAACTAAACAGATAAACTAAAGAGATAAACTTAAGAGATAAATTATAGAGATAAACTATAGAGATAAACTACAGAGTCAAACTAAAGAGATAATCTAAAGAGATAAACTAAAGAGATAAATTAACGGGATAAATGTAAGGGATAAACTAAAGGATAAACTAAAAAGACAAACTAAAGAGATAATCTAAAGAGATAAACTAAAGAGATAAATTCACGGGATAAATGTAAGGGATAAACTAAAGGATAAACTAAAAAGACAAACTAAAGAGATAAAGTAAAGAGATAAATTAAAGGAATAAACTAAAAAGATAATCTAAAGAGATAAACTAAAGAAATAATCTAAAGAGATAAATTAAAGAGATAAACTAAAGAGATAAATGGGTATTGACTATGGGGATGCCGGTCTGACCAGGTATGCTCATCTGACAGAACACCGGTGCAGGTCAGGTAGTGACACCCTGAATGCATGATGTGTGGGCGCTGTGACACGTCCAGAGAGTCTCATGCTGTGGACTTTTTTAACATGTCCAAAGAAGATGGGAACAGCTGACTTAGGAAGGCACTGCTGGAACATGGAGGTATTTATAACTGTGCCTAATGTTGAATTTTTCACCATCGGCAGCTGAAATCCAGACAGAAAAGTGATGAGAAAGAGTGATGGACAGAAAACAGTTTGTGTCAAACTGAATTCTGCTCTTTAATAATACGAACCACATCTGTGGATTCAGGGTCTTTTAACTGCATAAAAGTTGCATAACCTTCCCTAACAATCGACAGAGATGTGGCTAATGGAGGGTGGTTTTTACATTTACCTAGTATCCCATCTAACACGGCCATACAAGTCTCCTAACGCTAAATATTTTTACGTCATGTAATTAAAACGGTTTTCATTCTGAAGGAGACGGATCACAGCGCTGCTACCAAACCCAGCCTCCTCTGGCCAACCCCTCTCCTTGCTAAGAGCTGCAGCTAAAGTGATGCTTTGCTGTTCATGTGAGCTGACAAGCAGTCGATGGGGCTTGATTTTGTGTGAAAACAGGTCAAGACAAGAGGAAGAAAGGGAGTGACAGTGAAGGAGAAATGAATCAGAGGAAAAAAAGCAAGATGACAGCTTCTTATTTCAGGGCTCTCTCTCACAATGTCAATTATATATTTGTTTTACTCTGCTTAGTTAAAGGTGTTCATTACAGGCAAATGAAAGCCCCCAAAGAGGCGGGAGAAAATAAATCGGATTTCTAAAATAAGCTGAGAGTACAATAAAAGAGGAAAGATATAAAAAGGGCAAAAAGGTTCAGCCTCTCTTACCTATGCCTGAAATCTTTGTTTCTTTAACACAGTGCAAGCAAAGGCAAGGAAACACAGAAGAGACACGAGTTAGTAGACAGCTTGATTGATTTACTTACAAGAGAAACAAGCAATGCAACAAACTGAAATCATGCTCTGCAGAAATCATTGGAAGAAAGATTTCAGATAGATGTTAGGGTTGGAGATTTAAGAAACATTGAACATGAAGCGTGAGAATGGATCATCTGAGAACTGTACAAACATGGATGAAGTGGAGTTTGAGAAGTTTGACTTTAAAGGTAGACCCCCCTGTTACCTCAGCTCCATGACGCTGCTAACGTTCCCAGAAGGGTAGATCCTCCTGATGTAGTTAAAGTCCCCGACAAAAATGCTGCCATCCGCCCCACAGGCGAGGGCAAGCGGCGCCAGCAGCTTGTTGCCCTCTGCCTGTCCGTTACAGCTGGGGCAGGAGATGCTGCGCCTGCGACCGTTTCCTGGAGACACAGGTTCACACAGGTTCAGGTTCACCTTTACTCACTGAAACTACTTTAGATGAGAAATGACTTGCATCGTCAGCAGATACAGTGCCATAACAAGTAAACA